TTTATGCCCATCTGGCGGGAGCACACCATTTTAAAATTCTTATTTTAAAATGTGCATTTTCCCAGTTAATGAGGTTGAACGTTTTATCCTCTGTGTATAGGCCACTTGTCTCTCTTCTCTGGAATAACCTGTGTATCCCTTTTGTCTGTTTTTCTTTTGTTTTCCCTTTACTTATTGACTAGTTGGAGCCCCTTTCTTGTTCTGAATATTAATCGTTTTCCCAGGCGTGTGTATTGCCAGTATCTTTCCCTTTTATGGTATATTTTAAAAAACAGAGGCTTTTGCTTTTAATATACTTGAATTTTACTTTTGTGGTTTGTCATTTTCATGTCGTAAACAATTAAGAAATTTCCTCTAGGGGCGCCTGAGTGGCTCAGTGGGTTAAAGCCTCTGCCTTCAGCTCAGGTCATGATCTCAGGGTCCTGGGATCAAGCCCCACATCTGGCTCTCTGCTCAGCAGGGAGCCTGCTTCCCCCTCTCTCTCTGCCTGCCTCTCTGCCTACTTGTGATCTCTGTCTGTCAAATAAATAAATAAAATCCTTAAAAAAAAAAAAAAGGAAGAAAGAAAGAAAGAAACTTCCCCTACCTCAAGGCAGTAATCCACTATCTCACATTCAGCTCTAAAAGGTCTGCCTTTCACATTCAAGCTCTCAGTGGCAGTGGGAGGGCGGGACCCTGGTTCTTTCTCACTAGCACTTTGGGTCTTTTCCTTTGCTCTTCGGGGGTCACCTTCCTAATGACCCTGTAACGAGTTCTGTGAGACATCCAGATGGCACGGTGCTCAGGCTTGCATTCACTCTACTAATCACATTGGAGAGAAAGGACCCCTTTGCTGTATTGAGGCACGTTTTGGGGGGAATGTCCTAAGCCCCCTCCATTTAGCTCATCTGTCTCATGTGCCTCCGTGAAGTTGTAGAACTTTCTCCGAAGATCTTGTATGGCTTTTTGTTGTTATAGATATATTCCTAGGTTCCTTGTATCATTTTTTGTTTTTATTTTTTTAGATTTTTCTTTTTTTGTATTTTTAAAAAATTGCTGTTGTCAGTGGTGTTGTTTCTTTGTTTTTGTTTTTGTTTTGTTTTGTTTTGTTTTGTTTTGTTTTCAGAGAGAGTTTGAGAGCTGGGAGGGAAGGAGCAAAGGGAGAGAGAGAATCTTAAGCAGGCGCCGTGCCCAACACGGAACCTGACACAGGACTCCATCTCACAACCCTGAGATCAAGACCTCTGCCTGTCAAAAATTGGAAGCTTAACTGACTGAGGCACCTGGGCACCCCAGTGGTGCCTTTTTTTAACATGGTTTTTCTGTTTGTTGCTGATGTCTGCAGGGAGCTGGGAGGCAGGGAATCCTTTTTCCCAGCCCTTGTTCTCATCCACGATGGGCTCAGTTCTATGACACCACCCCCCCCCCGCCCTTGGGCATCTGTCCAGAAGGCCCACCAGGAACATAGCTCATCATCAGAAAATGCGGGAGCAGAGGTGGACAAGCACAGTGCTCACCCATCCATCCTCTAGCCCTTGGGCAATTGGCCACCCCCAGGGGTCAGGCCCTCTCTGTTGTTTTGCTGGGGTTAAGCTTCTTCACTGTGGTCCAGTGGGGGGACTTCTTATCCTAAAGTCAGTAGAGTGACATTGATTACTTGACCCTTAATTTTCTACCTGTCTTCTCTTTCGTAATATAAACATACAAGGTCATAAAATACCCTCTAAGTACCATTGTAGATGCAGCCAGCCCACACCTTTTGATAAATATTATCTTTATTAGCATTGAGTTCTACATATCTTCTCATTTTCATTATCATTTGCCCTTAGAGCCTTGGATTATTTAGAAAACATACATATTTTTAAATTTTAGTACCAATGAGGAGTTTGGGATATTTGTTCTTGATTTCTGACTTAATATTATAGTTAGAAAATAAGTGCATAAAGTATAAATCTTTTGAAATTTACCGAAGTTCATTTTATGCTCTCGAAAGTTCATTTTTCCTGACTTCTGTGTGGCTTGAAAAACGTGTGTGTTCCTTGTCTTTAGATTCTGCTATGTCCGTGTGATCAGGTTCGCTAATAGTGTCACTTGAATTTCCTATAACCCAGAGTCAGCTAATTTATCAGTTACAGAAACAGGTGTGTTGAAGCCCGCCGCTGAGAAGTTGGGAGCTGTTTATTTCTCCTGGAGTTTTGCTTTATTATTTTGAAGCCAAGTTGTTAGATAAAACATTTAGAATTCTTTTCTCTTTGTGGCCAGTGTAACATTGCACAGTGACCCTTTTTGTATTTCTGTGATACTTCTCTTTTCAAAATCAATTTCCTCTGATACGGTTCTCTACGGTTTAACTACATCTTTTTTATATATTTTTTAAGATTTTATTTATTTATTTGACAGATCACAAGTAGGCAGAGAGGCAGGCAGAGAGAGAGGAAGGGAAGCAGGCTCCCCGCTGAGCAGAGATCCCAATGCAGGACTCAATCCCAGGACCCGGGGATCATGACCTGAGCTGAAGGCAGAGGCTTTAACCCACTGAGCCACCCAGGCGCCCCTGACTACATCTTTTCTAAAGAGGTCTTTATTCTGGCTTTTATTCTTTTACTCTGCTCTTGCATCCTTCTGTTTTAGGTGCGTCTTTTGCAAACAGCATACAGCTAGTTTTCTTGCCAGTTTTTAGTGTGGTCATCTTTACCTTTTAAATGTCCAGAACGGTGGCCACTAGCCACATGTGGCTGTTCACTTAAAAAGTGCTGCAAAGGGGTGCCTGGCTGGCTCAGTTGGTTAAGCAGCTGCCTTCCGCTCAGGTCATGATCCTGGAGTCCCGGGATTGAGTCCCACATTGGGCTCCCTGCTTGGTGGGGAGTCTGCTTCTCCCTCTGACCCTCCCTGCTCTCATGCTCTCTCTCTCATTCTCTAATAAATAAAATCTTTGGGGCGCCTGGGTGGCTCAGTGGGTTAAAGCCTCTGCCTTCGGCTCAGGTCATGAACCCAGGGTCCTGGGATTGAGCCTCGCACTGGGCTCTCTGCTCAGCAGGGAGCCTGCTTCCTCCTCACTCTCTGCCTGCCTCTCTGGCTACTTGTGATCTCTGCCTGTCAAATAAAAACTAAAATCTTTAAAAAAAAAAAACAAAAAACGACTGTAAAAGAGGTGCCTAGGTGGTTCAGTGGGGGAACTTCTGCTCAGCGGGGACTCTGCTTCTCCCTGCCCCCCCATTTCTTGTTTTCTCTCTCTCTCTCTCTCTCTCTCTCTCTCTCCCAAATAAATAGATAAAACCTTTTTTTCAAGTGCTGTAAAGACAAAATATACAAATGGTGAACATTTTGGATATATCGGGTTAAGTAAAATATATTATTAACATTAAGTTCACCTGTTTTTATTTATTTATTTTAACGTAACTACTAGAAAACCTAGAATGAGTGGTGTGGCCTGCACGGTTTCTCCAATGGACAGTGCCGGTCCAACCTCCTTACACTGATTGGGAAATTTTGCAGTATTCTCTCTCTGAATATCGCCTTGCCCGCCTTCTCCCTACTTGTTTATTTGGAATGTTTTCATACTACCCTTCGTAACAGCGCACGTGTCTTCGTATATTCAGCTCTGTCCATCATTTCTTATGTGTCTTCTAATTAGCTCACCATCCTTGGCTCGGTTGTTTTCTTTCTCGTTTCCCCTATAGATTGGATTTTTAAATTCCAGTGATTTTATTTTACAATTCCAAAGTTAGCGTTTCTTCTTTTTTCAAGCTCTGATTGGTCAGTTTGGGTAGTCTCTTATCTATCAGACTCTCCCCCCTTTTTATTTTTCCAAATATATTAAACTGTATAGTCTGTGTGTGATAATTGTATCCCACGTCTCTGCGGGCCAGGTCCTGCGGCATAGGACCTCTCCGACCCCCAGAGGCGGCCGCTTTTCTTGTTGTGCTGGTGATCTGTAGTTGTGAGCCCTGCAACGCCTACAAGCGATGGCAGATGCTTTCCTCCTCAGACACTCTGTCTTCCTCTGCTGGTCCTTGGGGCCACCATGGCCTCGGCCTGGAGGCTTTCAGGCCACTCTGTGGTGTGACCCGGCACGGACAGCCTTGGGCACAGGCTTCGGGCATCAGCTCCCAGGCTGGGACTTCGGTCCCTGTGCCCTTCTGCATGTCCTTTTTTCTGTAGTTCTTGGGAGTCAGTTCGGCCATGACTCTCATGTCGTTTGGCTCCTCTTCTGGTTGTAAATTTAGTTTTTTTCATGGGGACCTGAGTTGCGGGGGTGTCCCTGGAGGGCAGGTTTGCATTTGCCTGCGCTGGGGGGTGGCCTCCGGGTTGCTGGGGCGCTCAGCCAGTGTTTCCGCGCATTTCCTGGCGTCGGTTCTCTGCACCATGTGGGGGGTATGGATTCAGTGTGGACACAGGGAAGTTCGCTTTCTCAGGGCGGCTGGCCCACCCATGGCCCTAGACAGGTGGCAGCTTCCTGGTAGCGCCCTCGGGTGGCTGGAGTTTTTCTAGTCCCCAGCTCACTAGGACCGAGGCTCCTGGGCTCAGGCAGGCAGCTCAGCGGGGCTCCCAGCCTTGCTTGGGCATCAAAGCTCAGCCCCTGAGGCTCTGGTCCTGTTTCAGCAACTCGCTGGGTCGCTTGGCTTCTGTTTGAACTCTGGATTGACTGTGCATTTGCTCTTTGATTCTTATATCTGGGATCTTTCTTTTCTGCTCTCTTATATACAGGTGGGGGGAGGTGAAGAGGGTATATTTGGGGTGACTATGTAGCATTTCTGTGTTAAAAGCGAGGGCAGGGGTTGCCAAGAGCAGCCCAGTCTTCTGCATGGAGGGACCAGAGGTCCAGCCTGTGCTCAATACCACATGACCTCAAGCTTCGCCCAGAAGGCCCTAGGTCCCTGCTGCTCTGGCCTTCCGTTCCCACTGGGTTCTCTTGCTGCTTGACCCCTGTAAGCCCCTGTGTCCACGTCTGTGGCTGGATGTGTCCACCCCATGCCCGAGGGGCCCTGATGCTGTATGTTCATACCCTTTCCCTTTTTTAGGCTCGGGGCCCCCAGTTCCTGCCCCTGACCTCTTAATGCAGATCAAGCAGGAGGGCGAGCTCCAGCTCCAGGAGCAGCAGGCGCTGGGGGTAGAGGCGTGGGCGGCCGGACAGCCAGATATCGGGGAGGAGCCGTGGGGCCTCAGCCAGCTGGACTCGGGAGCAGGAGACGTCTCGACAGATGCTGCCTCTGGTGAGTGGCCGCACCCAGAGCAGACACCAGGAACGAGATGCCACAACAAAGGGCAGGGTGTGGGGAAGGAGCTTCTGGAAGCACTGCGGGCTCTCGCACATCTGGCCTGACTCACGGGGAAGTTTTCCCACCTAGAGGCAGAGGGCTATACCAGATGATATTCTGCGGGCCCCACCATGTCTTTGATGATGCCCCTATCTTGGTATCTCTCGGCCTGACCTTCTCCAGCCACACTCCTGCTCTTGCCTCCACCCGTGGGCTTTCAGATCGCCAGATGCCTCACATTCGAGAGGCGTGTATGAAATAAATAACATCTGAGCTTCTTGGGGCCTTAGAGAAGGGGCAAAAGAGAACTGGGTGCAGGAGAGGGCGGGGCCATTATGCTCCAGCAGAAAAGGCCCCACTGGGATCGGAGGGTCCAGCCTGCCCTTCCTTTCACAGGGGTTCCCCCCTTCCTTCCCCTAACCCACAGGCTCTGATCTCTTCATTGCAGGCGTCCACTCCAACTTTTCAACCACTATCCCACCCACTTCCTGGCAGGCGGACCTCCCTCCCCACCATCCCTCTTCGGCATGCTCAGACGGGACACTGAAGCTCAACACAGCAGCCTCCACAGAAGGTATGGGGCAGAGAGAGGACGGGAAAGGGTCGCATCTTCCTGGAGGCTACCTGGGGGCCCTCGCTGTTAGTGGTGAACTGCCCTGACCTTTTGGCCAACAGGCTGTTAGGTGTCTGTGATGTTGGGACTCTGTCAATCTGTCCTTTATCACCTTCTAAATTCTTAAGCTTGGACAGCCTTTCTCAAGAATGTTTCCGGCTGTCCCTTTTTCATGTGGTCTTAACCAGTCAGCCCTGGGAAGCTGATCCCTTAAGAGGACGTACCTTCTGCTCAGGCTTAGCAATCCTAGCTCCTCGCCGACATCACAAAACCAAAAGCAAACCAGAACCGCTTCTTAGGTACCACCACGACGAAAGACAGGTGTCTGAAGGCCAGAATCGGGAGGAACAACAGCCAAATTTATGTATTGGCTTTCTGTTTACTTCTGTTTTGACAGCCGGTTGTCTGTTACTTAAACATTTCCATCATATTTTAGCCCCACCCCCAGAATGTGCTAGAAGCCTAGGTCCGTGATCTAAAACTTCAGGATGTGAGATTCAAGTACATTTATATAAAATCAAATACATTGGTACTATTTCACTGACACTTTTTCCATGAGCAAGCTGGCCACATTCACTGAATGCTTACTGCCTTCCAAATAGCGTGCTGAGTGCTTTCAGACGTGTCATTGGGTTTAATCCTCAGACAACCCTGTGAAATGGGATCTTCACAGGTCGGAGAGCTGCCTGAAGCCCGGAGCTGGGTGGGGGCGTGGGGGCACGGTACAATCGCACATCCCCCTGAGCCCACCATGGGGCTTCTGTGTCTCGGTTACTTGGCTACCTGTGGTCAGCCCCAGGAGAAAAGCATGATGAGCCTTAATAGCCAAAGTGAACCTGGGGCGTCGTGAGCCACTGTGCTGCTGGCTTTGCCTGTGCAGGTCCTTCCCCGGCACCTGGGGCAGCCCCAGGCCCACCGGGAGGGGCTCTGCTGAGCCCCATACTGAGGCTGGGAGGGTAGGGCTCAGAGGCGGTGGGGCTTGAGTAGCTGCGGACTGGCGCCGTGAGAGTGCCCGGGCTTCCTTCTCTAAGCAGGTGTGGGGACAGAACGAGACGGGGCCTTTCTCTCTTTCTCAGCAGATGTAAAAATTGTGATCAAGACAGAAGTCCAGGAAGAGGAGGTGGTGGCCACACCCGTGCACCCCACTGACCTAGAGGCTCACGGGACCCTGTTCGGACCAGGCCAAGCCACGAGGTTTTTCCCTAGCCCCGTCCAGGAAGGAGCTTGGGAAAGCCAGGGCAGCTCCTTCCCCAGCCAGGACCCCGGGCTGGGCCTGAGAGAGCCCACCCGGCCCGAGCGGGACATGGGCGAGCTCAGCCCCGCGGTGGCCCAGGAGGAGGCGCCCCCCGGGGACTGGCTCTTTGGGGGGGTCCGGTGGGGCTGGAATTTCCGGTGCAAACCGCCCGTGGGCCTGAACCCGAGGACTGGGCCCGAGGGGGTGCCCTACAGCTCCCCCGACAACGGAGAGGCCGTGCTGGACCCCGGCCAGGCCCCGAGGCCCTTCGGAGAGCCGTGTAAATACCCCGGCCGGACCAAAGGCTTCGGCCACAAGCCGGGCCTGAAGAAGCACCCGGCGGCGCCCCCTGGCGGGCGGCCCTTCACGTGCGCCACGTGCGGGAAGAGCTTCCAGCTGCAGGTCAGCCTGAGCGCGCACCAGCGCGGCTGCGGGCTGCCCGAGGGGGCGCCGGGGGCGGCGGCGGCTGCGGCGGCGGGCGGCGGGGCGCGGGACGGCAGCGCGCTGCGGTGCGGGGAGTGCGGCCGCTGCTTCACGCGGCCCGCGCACCTCATCCGCCACCGCATGCTGCACACGGGCGAGCGGCCCTTTCCCTGCACCGAGTGCGAGAAGCGCTTCACCGAGCGCTCCAAGCTCATCGACCACTACCGGACGCACACGGGCGTGCGGCCCTTCACCTGCACCGTGTGCGGCAAGAGCTTCATCCGCAAGGACCACCTGCGCAAGCACCAGCGCAACCACGCGGCGGGGGCCAAGGGCCCGGCGCGCGGCCCGCCACTCCCGCCGCTCCCGGCCGGGCCCCCGGACCCCTTCAAGAGCCCGGCCTCTAAAGGACCCTTGGCCTCCACAGACCTTGTGACCGACTGGACTTGTGGCCTGAGCGTCCTGGGACCCAGCGACGGCGCGGACCTGTGAGGCACAAACCCCCCACCCCCCAAGGCCGGCGGGGGCGCCCCGGTCCCCCCCCGCAGGCCGCGCGTGTCTCGGACGCCCCAGTCGCAGACTGCGGGGTGGTGGGGAAGGCTGAGGTGGGAACGGAGTCTGGGGGAAGCAGATTTCCACGTTGCTGAACTGATCACTGGAAAAAGAAGAAAACGATCCGGCCTCCACCTCTAAACAAAGTAGAATTCTCTGATTGTGAAACTGAGCAGCATAGAATTTTAAGTAATTTAATTATGAAAACTTTTTTTTTTTTTTTTTTTTTAATTCTTGACGAAAAAAGCTGGAAAATAGTCGTAGCACCAGTTTAAACTTTAGAGTGTACTTTTGGTTTCTGGACCGCGTGTTTGTGTGGCCTGTGTCCTTACCAAGTCTGACAGTGAGTGTGCCCCGAGTTGGCCGGCTGGGGACACAGGTGAGGAGGGTCCTTCCCTCGCACCACTGACTCCTAGGGATGGGCTGATGGTTGCACAGAGCTCGGTGGAGGTGAGACACCTCTGGGCCCCCCAAGCTGTACTCCCGGCCGCCGGGGCTGCAAGCTCGTCCCATCAGCACCTGCTCTGCAGTGTGGAGACCTGCCCCCCACCTGGTGTCAGCTGGGAGAAGGACTTGCCCACCAGCAGCCAGTCCTATTTCCCAGCTCTCCTCAATCTGAAAAGGCCCCCAAAAGTGCTGGCCTATTACGGGCCATCTGCCACCCCTATGGAAAGGCATCTGGGTGGTGTCACCCTGTTAGGTGACTCAGAGCCTTCTAACGGAGAGTCCTCTGAAAACCCAGTGTTAGAGGCGAGGCAGCTGAGGCCGGCAAGTGGAAGCCTTGGCCGTCACCGTCACCTACCAGCAGAGCCAGCAACAAAGCTGGCCTGCCCGCCCCTAAGCGGGGCTGCTTTCCACTCCAGAGAAATGCTTCTCTTTCCTTTTCTCTCTGTGTAGTGTTTCTTCATTGTCAAAATGCTTTCACTTCGCATCTCATTTGATGACTGTGACCTTGTGAAGCACGCAGGACAAGTGTTCTTTCTTGTTAGAGACGAGGAAGTAAATTCCTCAAGGGGGACACACCCCGGCCCGTCTCAGTCGAGTGCGCGGCGCCGTGCCCACGGGTGAGGAGGACTACGGACTAGACGCGGCTCATCTTCCCGGAGCATCAGTTTGGGGGAGGGAAGGTTTTCGTCTTTGCCCTCTTAAGATTTGTGCCACATCTGCCAGAGCAGAGTCGGCGGGCGTCAAGACGCCGCTGAGCGCTGGCCTCTTTGGTGAGTGTGCTTGGTGGCAGGTCCGAGAGGCTGGGCAAGGGCCAAGGGCTTGCTCACTCCCTATCTGACATCTTCGAGGTCGAACTAGAAACAGCCCAGGTTTCTTGATTCTACCACAGTGCCGTCCCCACCACACAAGTATCCATTCCTGTTTTGTTGGAGCAGCCGCCGGTTCCCTCGCCCCAAATGGGTGACTTGTCTCCCCTGAGGAGCGAGAGACCATGGCTTCCGTTCCGTCAGCTCCCTCGTGCATACTTTTATTAGGCAATAGACTAGTTAAGAAAATTGTTTCTATGTACTGTATATTTTGTACCTGTTTACACTTCTAATATTGATATAACTGATATTTTGAAAAACAAATGAAGAGGAAACATCCTGTTAAAATAAAACCTAACCAGCACCAAGGCGCTTTGGTTGGTTCCATTCTTAGACCCGTGTCTTCAGCCCTGATGCCTCCAGACCCTTCTCGCCGGCGAGCTGGGTGGCCAGCTCCCCCACGCCCCGCCCCTGCGCGTGGTCGCCTCAGATCGGGGAGGCCACCCATCCCTGAGAGCTAGGAGTGGAAGAATCCGGAGAAGTTTGACTCTGTGGAGGGGGAAACCGTAGCACAGCCCATCACCGTGCTTCAGAATATAATCATGTCGGTGTAATTTGGCTTTATGTAATTCGGTACGATGTACATGAAAAAAATAGGTCTGGAAGAGAAAAACAGAACGTCAGAGAACACTGGATGCTGTGCTGGATGTTCTCTCCTCGAGTCTTGTCTTGACTGGCCAGGAGCAAAGAAAGGACCAGCGATGCCTGGGGTCGTTGTATTCCTGGTCCGGGACTGAAGTCGGCCCGTGGCGTCTGAGCTGGGCTCACACCCACGTTCCCATCAACCAGAGTTAACGATAGTTTGTGTTTTCTCTCGTGTGGTCGGTCGTTGTCACATTTTGATCTTTGTCTTTTTAAGAAAATGAAAATGTAAAATAAAATCTGCGTAAAATTGCCCCAAGGGCATGGGAGTAGGACATGGAGAGAGAGTGGAAGTGGGTCTCACCCACGCCCATTGTGGTGATGGCATCCCTCCTGGGACCCACAGCCCCGATGTCGCCCACATGCTTCTTGTCCGCCCACCCCCCGCCGCAGGACATGTCTCCAGTCCTGGGAAAAGAACGAGGGACACTTCTGGTGCCTGCCCCGCTCACCAAGCCTCCAGCCCACCACCGTGCTCGGCCGTTCGCACACGCCCTCCCGCCACACGCCCCGGGTGCTGCGGGAATCCCGTGTCTCACGCCAAAGCCCTCAGCCATGTAGTGTTTCGCTCAGTAGACGACTCCCAAGGCTCTGGCTTGGGTGCACTCTCAAAACAGGGAATTTGGGGAGGACAGGGCTTCGTGGAGGCAGAGGGTAGAGTTCAGTATCAACACCCCGAAGGGACACTCGGTGAACAGTTAGGAAGACCAGGTCAGCACCTTGGGCTGGGGGCCCCCCCGCTTAGTCCAGAGCACTGCGGTCTCTTCTGGTCTTAGTGTCCTCTTGCTGCTAGGAAAAAGGACCACAAGCTTTGTGGCTTAAGCCAGGAGAGATCTGTTTCGTACTTCTAGAGGTCAGAAGTCCAAACTGAACTTTAGGGGGCTAAAATCAAGGTGTCAGCAGGGCTGCGTTCCTCCTGGGTCCAGTGAAGAATCCACGGCCTCGCCTTCTCCCACTTGTAGAGGCCACGCTTGGTTCGTGGCCCTCATCTCCCGTGGCAGTCATTCCAAGCTCTGCTTCTATCATCACATCGTTTTCTGACCCGGACTCTCCTGCCTCCCTCTCAGAATCTTGCAACGGACTCTGCGCCCACCAGGATAATCCAGAAAAATCACTTCATTTAGAGATCCTAAATTAATCACACCTGCAAAGTCCCTTTCACCATGTGAGGCACTATCATTTTTTTAAAATTTTGTTTATTTCAGACAGAGAATGAGTGAGAGAGAGAGAAAGCACAGGCAGGGGTGGAGGGACAGAGGGAGAAGCAGACTCCCCACCGAGCAGAGAGCTGGACGCGGGGCTCAATCCAGGACCCCAGGATCATGACCTGAGACATAGACAGATGCTTAACCGACTGAGCCACCCAGACGCCCCGTGTAAGGCACCATACTCACAGGTTCTAGGGATTAGGATATGGACTCTTTGGGGGGTGGTGTTCGGCTTACTATGCATTCCAAATCCCAGGGCAATCCCCAACTCCTGTCTAAGGCCAGGCCAAGTCCTCCATGAAATGTCCTACGTTCTGGCATCAAAGTGATGTGCTTAAGTGAGAAAGCTTGACGGTCGTCATGCCCCACCCCTCCCTCATCTCAGCCACCCTCTGCTGCCCATGGAAACATACCCATCTGCGGCCCGCCTCCTCCTGACATCTTTCTTTACTTTAATCTTTCTGTGACTTCATACTTGTCCAAAGATGGTCCCCATCCCTTTCGACTTTCCGTTGTTCCGTAGCAGCGCTGTATCTTTGTCCTGTTCCCAGGCGGACTTAAGAGGAGTCAACCGTGCCGTAACCATTGCAACAGCGTCAAGACCAGTGAGGACGGGGCTGGCCCCTTTAACTATTACTCTATTTTGTCTCCATTCTCGGGCAGATACCCCTCCCTCTCGAGTTTCCTGTTACCTTCTCTCTCTCCTCTCTGTTGTTCGTCAGTCTTTATTCCACATCACTGAAGGCTCGCCAAAATCCTCCTGGACCTCAAGGGTGGAACTCCCAGCCCATCCTGCCCCCACTCCGTCCCTCATACAGATCCGGGGTGACCTTTCTAACTGGGAAATCCGAGCACTCTCACTCCCTGGCTTAAAGCCCTTCATTGACCCCTATGACCTACTGCTGAAAATCCCAATTTTAGGCCTGCATAGCCGACCCCTCATGAAGACAGCTTCTCCGTATATTCATCTTCTGCCTAGACTGAACTACCTCTTCCCTGAGCACTGTGCTGTTCCATGTCTCTGCACATGCTGTTCCCACTTCATGCTGTTGCTCCCCCCATCGGCTCCACAGTGCACCTGGTACACTCCTTACCCTCAGGAGATGGCTCAGCATCACCAGCCGTCCCTGGTCTCTGCAGGCGGCAGTGATGCCTCCCCTGTTTCTCATAGACCCTTGTTCGCACTCCTTCGGTCTTCACATTAGACTCTCCCCTACTTTGTATATAATGTGTCCCTGGAAATGTTATAAAGGTGTATGTATAAAGACGAGGCAGAACACTTACACAAATCCTAAGGCAGGCTTTATTCCCTGACAGCTAGAAACAAAGTTCCTGATTTGACGTGATTGTCAAGCTCCTTTTAAGCCGGAGTCTTGTGCAAATTATACATGATTACTTAAACACATTAAAAGCGCCACTTAGGCATTAAACATATACACTTAAATAATCTGTCTTTAAAAATAGGGCAAAAAGGAATAAATGCAAATATTGTGGGTTGTAGAACCTGATAGAAACATCTGCAAATTCCAGATGGGATATAATAAACATAATTTTAAATACGGAGCTCAGAAAGGAATAAAGGGAAATCCTAGTGTACCAGAAATGAAGGCAAAACTACATCCAGGTTGTAAGCAGGCGAACAGTGGCTGCGTCTAACAGGGTGGGGTGAAGAGAAGGGTATAGAGGCCTTGGGCCCGTGAAGATCAGAGTTTGAGCTGACGCCTCATCCAGAGAAAGTCCTCTAAAGACCTCGACTTCAGAAAATACATGTTCAGAAAAAATACACCCAACTCCAAAAGACGATGTGCTGGGTGGTCCTCAGGAAGCAGATGCTGAAACATAGTTTCAGACAACAGGACATTGTGCTCGCTTCAGCCACACACATACTGAAGTGCAGGACGTTTACTGCACAATGACGCTATAAATGGTAAAGGCAGAAGGAAGCAGGATTTTGCAGACAAAGTCTCAGACCAGGACACAGACCTAACATCCACGGAAGGGAAGAAGAGCACAAGCAGGTTTGGGCAGCAGGAACAAAA